CAGCCTCTCAGACCAATTCAGATATTGCATTTTCTTTGTTAAACTGAAAGAGTCACACTTAGAATCAGGTTTTTTACAGATTGTTTTCATTGCATGAATTAATTTTCAGTTATGAATTATGCTCCTTTTTTTATTTAACCACACCCATAATTAAAGTGTGATGGAGAAATGGCATTCAACAAAAAGCAGCTGTCATACATTCAGTCCTCAAGATAGGGTATTCACTAATGTCCTGCTTGCTACATTTTAGACAAAGACTCTTTTGTTTGATTCAATTTTTAATTCAACATTATTGAGACTGATCTTAATTTCAATAAAAAAATACGCTTCTAAAAGAAAATGACAATTGCATCTATCCTGCTTGTGTTATCAACATCTAAGCCTCAATGGGCAGAGTCAAATCTCAGAAGATTGTTTCCATTATTTACTAACTTGATTGGCAAATTACAGAAGAATATCTTGGGAACAGGATTCTCAGAAGGTTCAGGTCCCCAAGAAATCCAGAGTCATTGAAAAGAGAAATCAGCTTCACTCAGCATCGAACCCCAGCAGAAGATGGCAAATCCCCACTCACATCAAGAAAGCACAGCCCAAATTTGGGTTAGAAGAGGGCATGACAGATCTTGGAGCAGGAAGGATTTAGGACTTTCTATGCTGGGGAGATAGACAGGTAGGGGAGACTCATGCAGACAGGCCTCAAGGTTTGCAGAAGGAAATCAACATGGTTTGTGTTTTAATGCCAGATGACATAAAATTTGTTGTATTAGTTGTTGTGGTTGTGGATGTTGAATTCTAAAATTACACAGATTTCATTAAATTGTTGCTCATTAGCAAGGCAATTTTAGCTTTTGCTGACACTCTATCTATATGAAAACAAGCTAAAGGATCATGCCTAAATTTTCTATTTCAAACAGTAATAGCTTAAAAAGTAACCAAGACAGAGTTCTCCAGAAGTCAAAAGGCCATTCAGTTGACTCTAGCCGAGATTGCATATAAGAACAATAACATTATTGGTTATTTTATTTTCACATAATTTCAAAGAAAGTTACAAAATTAGATGTGAGGTTACAGTGGTTTCTCTAATACTGAAGTGGACTCAGCATTATGGGAGGCAGAATTTTTCTTTTTTCTTAAGTTCAATGTAATTAACGCAATTCTAGCACTTAAAAATAATCACTATTTAAGTAATCAGCATTTCAATAGGTAGTGAGTTCTTCATTACTGAAAGTATTTAAGTAAAGAGTGGTGATTAACAAAGTCCAGTTGCCTTGTGCACTTGCATGTTCATTGTGGGCAGTAGTTTAGATGACTAGGAGATTGAGCCAGATGCCCTGAAATCTTTGTCTAGTGTAATACAGTGCCATTTTGCTTTCACTGTGGTCTCCCAAACTAGGCCTTCATTGTTCACAACATTTAAATTATTTTTTATCTATTCACTGGTCATTTATATTGAGTCCGATGGCAATACAGTTACAGAAAATGAGATAAGGAAGTAAAAAAAGACCATATTCCAAAGTAGAATTGTTACTTTGCTAAGATAATTTTTAAGCATTAGTGTGTCTCCAAAATCCTCCATCACATCTCCCTCTTTCTGAACCAATCAATCAACAAAAAGATCAAAGTCCCTGCTGCAATGCACATTCAAGTCCACAAGACAACTGAACTTCGTGAATCATCTGTCTTTGCTGGGATACTTTAAGTAATGAGAAACTCATCACCTATTGAAATACTAATCGCTTAATAATAATTATTTCAAGTGTTAGAATTAACTTAATTACACTGAGCTTTAAAAAACTGATTACTCTATTATCATTAAATAATATTTTAGCTTCCTTTAGTTGTTCATTCAATGGCTTCGAGTCATAAATGTTGGAATATTCTGTCTTCAAACCAAGATACACACAGCACTTGTATCTTTTTTTTCCCACAACACTTGTATCTTGAGTCAGTGTCATAAGCTCCTAGAATGGCAGTAGAGTGGTCAGATAAAATATAGAAAAAGTGAGCACACTAGAAGGACACGAGAAACGAGCTATATGGAAATATTCAGGGACAATATTCCAGGACGCTGAGTATGTTGAGTAGAAAAGGAGTCAAGTCTTGAGTAGTTTGAAGAGTACTAAGGAAGTTGGAGTGCTGGGAGCAGAATCTCCAAAGAGAAAAGTAACAAAGAAATTGAAGAAGCAATGGCAGCAGAGAACAAGGAGGACCTGGTAAACTGTGAAGGTTTTGGCCTTTCTTCCCTGTCTTAAGCTTTAAGAAAACACATACCACACAGTTTAATATATATAAGAAACATCCAGTATTCTGTTTCTGATGACAATTGCATGGATTTTGCAAAGATATTATTTTCACTCAATACGAATTTTTTTATGTTCAAATGAAGATAATATTCCCAGTGATTTTACCCAAATATGAGAGGAGAAAACAGAGAATAGCAAAAATAGTGAATGAAAACAAAAACAACAAATTAGCACAACAGTCATTCTTGATGTGTAAATAAGCTAGTTGATCACTTTGTTTTATTCACTTAACAGGAAGGATTCATGGTACGTTGTGTTCCCAGTACACCCATGAAGCTGGATACCACTGTGGCGATTGAGCAGAGGAGTGACATGCTCTGTCTTCTGTTTTAAAAGGTTTATACTGGTTGCTTTATTATTTACAGAAAAAGTGAAGGTGGGCACAGAGGGATTGCAAGGAGATTATTGAACCCTCCAGGTGAGAAGATGTGGCACTTTTTCCAAAGAGTGTGCAATGTTGGTGGTTAATGGTGATCAGCTTCAAATATATTTTCAGTGGAGCCAGGTGATTTTGGTGAGAAATTAGGTGTTGGGTCTAAGAGGAAGAATCAAATTCAAGGTTTCTAGCCTGAGCAAGTGGGAGGATGGAGTTATCATTAAGGAGGTAGGGGGGACTCACTAAGGGGTGACCACGGAGTGAGGCAAGAATGAAGGTTAATTTGCGTTAAGTTTCAGTTGCTGATTCAACATGTGAGTGTGAATTTCAAATAGGTTAGTTGTTTATGTGAAGCTTATATTGAAGCTTGATGCACACATTTGGGTGTTGAGGGCCAAATGACAGCATTTAAAGTCAAGAGACTGCTTAAACCATCAGAGAAGTGAGGCTGAACTGAAAAGTATTCATCCCTGAGGTCATATATTAGCAAATTGGAAGATGCAGAGATGCTTGAAAAATAAATGGATAAAGTTTGAAAAGACAGAGCTGTAGTTGAACTCAGAGCACATAGTCAAGCATGTAAAGTGACAAGAGTAGATCCAAGAAGAAGGAGAGATCAACTATGTGATGCTGAAGACAGATCAAGATGAATAGGAATGAGAATGGATAAATGGAGAGTGATGTTGCGGTAGAAGGATTGTGATGTAGCAGTAAGGGAAAAGCCCTGACTGCAGCGCATTCAAATGGGGATCCAGGCAGCTGGGAGAGATGACACCATCATGAAGGAAAAGAGTAAAAGTGAACAGACAAATACAAGCAGTGTTTGGAAAACAGAGTAGCATTGACATATTTTCTTCTCTGTTTTGTCTTTTAATTTAAAAGGGATAGAAACATCAGCCTGTTGACATGCTGAGGAAATGATGCAGCAGAGATGGGGTCATTATTGATTCAGGGAGTAAGAGGATGTAATGCCTGCAATACCTTCCACTAACTGGAAGAGTGCAGCTCCCAAAGCACGTGTGGAGGGATTTACCTTAACCTGGACATAGACTGTTTCTTCAGAGGAAGGTGTAGGAAGCAGGCGCACAGAAACAGAAGGTGGCAGGTGGGGAACTTAGTGTCCTGAGCATCTGGTATTCCCATTAGAGGATTTCAGTACTTTTTTCAGTACAATAGGTCTTTTGCTTATGGTATAGATAGACAAGGAAGTTTTGGACATTTTAAAAGAGACGAACATATGTGAAATATTCACTGAAGAGAATGGAAAATTAAACAGGTGAAGTTCATGTAGAATGGTTAACCCACAGTGCTAAGGACACATAGGAGTTTATTGGTTGTGAATGTTAAGGTGGCAAAGTTGTGTGTTGCCTCTCACCTCTGTTATTTTATGGAAGCTCATGCATGGCAGGTGGATGTTGGATTTAATCAGAACTCAGTTTGACAATGAACCAAGTGAAAGCGAGGGAAAGGTGACATGTTGAATGTGTACAGGAAGGAGCAGTTACTGTGGCTGAGTGTGATATTCAATGGCGCAAGAAATGATACAGATGGAGGTACACATTAGCTCAGCACAAGACTTCATGAACACACACACACACATACACAACAGAGTATCTACAAATACTGTCTGAGGGAGGGGAGAATGTATCAATTTTCCCAAGATTTTTTTTATTCTTTTTTTTTGAGGAAGATTAGCCCCGAGCTAACTACTGCCAATCCTCCTCTTTCTGCTAGGGAAGGCTGGCCCTGAGCTAACATCCATGCTCATCTTCCTCTACTTTACATGTGGGATGCCTATGTCAGCATGGCTTGCCATGTGGTGCCATATCCGCACCTGGGATCCAAACCAGTGAAGCCTGGGCTGCCAAACTGGAACGTGTGAACTTAACCACTGTGCCACTGGGTTATCCTCCTGACTTCTTTTTTAGACAAAGCTCACATGTGAGAAAAGAAAGGAATTTCCTTCCACATGCACCTTAATTTTTTTAAACTTTGTTGTTATCAGTTTGAGTTTGGTTTCAATCAGTGTCCTTTTTGCCTATATCTTTGGATCTCAAACTTTTTCCAGGTTTCAGAGAACCCTACAAATGGAATTTGCAGAGATTCATTCCAAGATCTAATATTCACATTCAGCTTGTGATATGAAAATGTATTTTTATAAAAGTTAGATTAAATTATGCATTTGTTCTTACAAAATGCTGTACATAAAAATTCAAACTATTTAAAAAAGTTATTTCTGAAGTTCCAAATATCAATTGTTACACATATTTTTATTCCTTGTTTATACTGCTTTTCCAAAATGTTTCCCCTCTGCACAGGAAATGGAGCCCCAAAATATATCCACTGTCACTGAGTTTCAGCTGCTAGGATTCCAGGACCTTCTTGAGTGGCAGACCCTCCTCTTTGCCATTTTCTTGTTCATCTACTTCCTCACAGTAACAGGGAATGTTGTCATTATTGTAGTGGTGAGCCAGGACCAGCGACTGCACTCACCTATGTACATGTTCCTCAAACACCTCTCCTTTCTGGAGATCTGGTATACATCCACCATTGTGCCCCTTCTCCTAGCCAACCTGCTTTCCTGGGGCCAGTCCATCTCTTTCCCTGCCTGTATGGCCCAGCTCTACTTTTTTGTGTTCTTTAGGGCTACTGAGTGCTTTCTTCTGGCCATGATGGCCTATGACCGATATCTGGCCATCTGCAGCCCACTACACTACACTTTCCTGATGAGTCCTGAGATGTGCAGCAAGTTGGTGGCAACCTCCTGGTTGACAGGGTTCAGCACAGGATTTTTGCCCTCCCTGATGATTTCCAAGTTGGATTTCTGTGGGCCCAATCAGATCAATCATTTCTTCTGTGCCCTCCTTCCCCTCATGCAGCTCTCATGTTCCAGCATTTATATCACAGAGATGGTCATCTTTATCCTGTCAATTGCTGTGCTGTGCATTTGCTTTTTTCTTACACTTGTTTCCTATGTTTCATTGTGTCCTCCATATTGAGAATTCCTTCAGCCTCTGGCCAGATGAAGACTTTTGCCACATGTGGCTCCCATTTGCTTGTTGTCACTGTCTACTATGGTTCCATGATCTCCATATATGTTTTCCCCAATACCCATCTGTCACCTGAAATCAACAAGATCATTTCTGTCTTCTACACCGTGGTCACCCCATTGCTAAACCCTGTTATCTACAGTTTGAGGAACAAAGACTTCAAAGTGGCCTTTAAAAAAGTTGTGGCAAATAAATGTGGCATCTGTGGAGTAAGACTGAAGGAAATTTTCTTTATTAGTTAAGGAATATCACTACAGGATATCCAGTGGATTAAGTTCAGGGATAAGTGAATAGCCAGTTCAGAGCCTTCAGAACTAAACACCATCATCGGCATTATGTCAAATTCCACAAGCTGTAATGAAATAGCTTCTTCATGACCCCTTTCCAACAACTAGTCGGAAGATAAATTGGCCCTATGAAACTATTTTGGGGGTAATTTTGCCTTTATAAGCTTTCTTTCATCTTCTGACTTGAATCTGATTGTATAATTCCATTGCATGATGATGACACATACATTCCTTTCAGATTCTGCAATATGATTAATCTTGTGTTCATAAAGCCTAAGTACAGAAATTTATACACTTTTAAAGTACTGTTAGGACACTGGCCTTGTAGACTCAGCATCGTGTGCTATTGGTTCTTGTCAAATATCTGCAGAATGAATGAATTATAAAAGAAAAGAAATGATATGTGAATTGTGTGTTGACCTAAATTATCTGCTAATGACAAGAAAGAACAAAGAAGGATTTTTGAGACACCAAAGATTTATCCATAATAACTTAGAACTTTAATATTTTTTAACAGAATTCTAGGAAAAGAAGGAAGGGCCACAGGTTGAGGGGAGGGATGAGTGGAAAAGGATGGAGTGGGAGAGGGAGAAGGAGAAAGACAAAGAAACAGAAAGAAAGATAGAGAGACAGATAAAAATGAAAAAGAAATAAAGAAAGAGGGACAGAGAAGGAAGAAAGGGAAGAGATCAGGGGAAATGGGAAGGGAAGGGAAAATATGGCAAGAGAGGAAGGAAGGAGGGAAAATAGGAAGGAAGGAAGGGGAGATTAGGGAAGGGAAGGGAAAGGAGCAAATGGAAAAGGGAGGGAACAAAAAATACAAAGTGTTATATGCTATCGTGAGCCCTGGGAGTCAAAGACCATACATTAACAGGCTTAAATCACTCTCAAATATTCTTTTGTTCAGCCAATATTTATAAGACCTCTACTAATCCTGCCCATTATTCTATTCATTGATTCCACAAATATTTTCAATCCCCTGCTATATGCCAGTCCTCTTGCTGTAGTCTGGGTTGATATAGAAACAACCAAGGAAGACTTTGCCTTAGTGGAGCATGCAGTCTTCAGAGGGAGAGAAAATTGTAATGAATCATCAAAGGAAAAATTGATTTATTTCTATCTGTGATGATTGTTATGAAACAATAAAGTTCAACCTGGTGTGTACACATTGAACAAGAAGGTCTGAATGAACATAGAGGGTTAGGAAATTTCTCTATGCTTAAGTAGTCACTTAACCTACACTTCAAGGATGAGGAGAAGAAGACTAGAAATGATTGTCCAGGTAGGGAATATGGCATGAATGCAGGAGGAGAAGCATGGAGAAGCTGGGGATGGAGGAAAAATATGATTCTAGAGCAAGAGCTGTTCCATGAAGGTCATTAAAAGCCCTATAGGTCTAATGGATTTTACACTAAGAGAAATAATTGAATATGAAATGGTATCAATTAGGGAATGACATGATATATTTTTTCATTTGTAAATATTATTATTGTTTGGGGAAAAGACTGAAAGAGAGAAAGACTTGCTGGGACCATTTCCATAGCCCATAAAGGACACGAGGTTGACTTTATTTTAAGTTTGATGATGTAATCTATCATAGGAAGAGCTTCACACATGGAAAAGTCAAGGATGGAAAATCTAGACTCACTCGTCCATTTACTTGCAGCGGCACCAGTTTACAGTCTATTAAACAAATGTGATAGATTCCACAACTACCTTTGAGTTTCAGGGGTAAATGCACTTTGACTGTTTGGCTCATGCAATTTCCTCTCACCACATGTCTTTGTGTTCTCTTGCCTTTCTTCCATCCTTCAAGTTTCCTTTTCTCCCAGGATTTGACTTGTGAGAATCATTTAGTCTGTATTAGATCCATCTGGTTCAAATGGTACATTGGAATCTGAGATGGGATAAGAAGTGGGTGATATAGGGAGGAAAACATCATTGGACTGGCATTTTGGATGGAATACTAAAAACCAATCTAATATCTTACCTTGTTCATCTCTGATTTGTATATTTATTGTATGTTATATTTAACTAGATATGAATTATCTTAGCAAAAGATTATTTCTAAAGTATCAACCTACATTGGTGCCTGACTCTTCATATGTGCAGAAGGATTATTGATCCTCATATGAGAGACTTCAAGAAATGATGCTAAATGGACATTTATATATGTGGATCTGGAGCTCAGAGCTGTTACCTGCCTAAAAGTTTTTAAAATTGTAAGTTTTCATCACATAGATGATATTTTAAAATATGTAAATGGATAAGATTCCCAGGAATAAAGCATAAACCAAGAAAATAAAAGTGAATAGTAAAATGGAGGAATGGAGGAATGTCAAATCACAAATTTTAAGTGAAGAAGAGGGACCTGAAAAGGAACTACAAAGGAATAACTGCAGAGTTGCGAGTGCATTTGTGAGGTGGTTGTACAGACTCTTCTAAGGGAGTAATGTTCTGAGAAGGAAGACAAGATGAGCACAAAAGGTGATAATTATGAGGCTTTCATTAAAGTGCTCAACACAGAGGCTACTATTGTTCCTGGGGAAGGCAATAAAGGCTAGATTTGTACTTCATTGACTGGACTGGGGAGGGTGTATGCAAGACTGGTGATAGTGAGAGAGGGAATGGCTTGTACAGAAATGGAAGAAGTTGTGTGTGTAAACAATTATCTTGAAAGTGCAATTGTAAAAGTGTCATAAAAATGCTGATGTTGGAGGTGTAGTTGCATTTTTTTAAGATTTGATCATCTGAATTAGTATGAACATTTGCAGTGAGGGTCCATTAGTTAGTAAAAATTTAAGGAATCAATACAGAGAGTGAAAGCTGACAGCCTGAGTTTGAAAAGGAAGGGATCTAGGGCAAATGTGTAGATATCAGCATTCAATCGGGAAAGCATTTTTTATATTGTGGGAGGCAGAAGGGAGGGGATCATTGCAATATGATGAGGGTTTAAGGAAATAGAGCTATGACTTGTACAAATTTTCACCAGAGGAATCATATGGCTTATGTTTCTGAGACAAAGTCAACAGCTCTTATCCACCATAGAGAAAGTAAGTAGAGGCTTGAATGAAGTGGCAAGAACATTCTATATTTGTATTGTAAAATGAAATTGATAGCTGACTGAAGACATACAGGTGGATTTGAGAGCAAAAATGAGTACCTCGTTGAAGTAGGATATCAGATTTATTGTCATCTTGAGCTGCCAGTTTGCTTATTGCTTTAAACCATGTCAGCTGTTTGGGCTCTGTCGAATATGGTGAAAGGCAGGATTCATTTTGAGTTGAGGCTTAGCTCTGTTGGTAGAGTAAGAGATAGAGGCAAAGAAATGATGGATGTTAATTTGAGAAGAGAAATCAATATATATGTGACAAGTGGAAGAAAAAATGACTAGAACTCCAGAATTTTAAAAAAATGTAATTATAATAGGGTTATTTGAGTTCTGTGGATTGATGGGAAGTAATACTTAGAGGTTTAGTGGCCCAAAATAGTGATTTAAGAAATGGTTTAGTTTGGGGTAACAACAAAACCAAACATATAGCTAAGAATAAGTGAGATAATCATGTCATGAGAAGAAAGATGAATTCGTCACAAAGCTGGGGACAATAATTCCATTAGGAAAGAAAGTCATGACTGTGGTGTTATCTCTAAATGAGTGGGTGTGGCTAGTAGTTACATGGATCATCTCAATGAGGAGATAATGAGTTGTTCACTTCCTTAGCATGAGTCTTAAAGGAAGATGTTTTTAAAGGGAATGGGTGAACAATATCCAGTGCAAAGCAGTAAAGAGCAAGGAGTTTATCATGCCCACAGAATGACCATAAAATATAGGGCGAGAGAGAGATGTTAAGCAATTCCACTTGAAGAATTAGTGCTCAGTTTCCATTCAAGCTAGGAGATGAGGTAAGATTTATAAAGAAGTGATGACTGAACAAGAAATATTAGTTCCAAATGGGCCAACTCTCTGTGATTGACTCAGGGCTATCAGAGCTTTCCAAGACATCCCCTAGGAGATGGTTGTCAATTTTCTTGACAGGGGTCACTCCAGCCTTGAGTTGACTACACCAATTGAAATATTTCAGGGTCCCTACCTTTGATGGAGGTGGATTTAACATGTTTTAAGTTAAACACAACCTAATCTTTAGTTCCTTTTAAAAGAGTCTCTAGAGCTCTGTCTTATGGTACTGTGTCAATATTATATGTCTTGTTGATTATTTTTATTTTCAGTTGTTCAAGAACTAGGTGTATCGTGTTTTTTTTATTTTGTTCTTTTTTTTGAGGAAGATTAGCCCTGAGCTAACTACTGCCAATCCTCCTCTTTTTGCTAAGGAAGACTGGCCCTGAACTAAAATCCATGCCCATCTTCCTCTACTTTATACGTGGGATGCCTACCACAGCATGGCTTTTGCCAAGCGGTGCCATGTCCACACCCAGGATCCAAACCAGCAAACCCCAGGCCGCCCAGAAGAGGATTGTGTGCATTTAACTGCTGTGCCACCAGGCCGGCCCATGTATCGTTTTTTAAGAACACATTTCACACATTTGCAGTTTTTGTTACAGCAATGTCAACCTACAAAAACAGAAACCAATTTAAGAGGCAAAGCGTTTATTTGGGATCAAAGAATCATAATTCAGGGAACACAGATTCAAGTGGAAACCCAAATAGTGTCCTCGTTACAGGAGAAGAGCTCAGTGTTTTTATGAAAAAAGGGATAAAGATGAGGTAAGTTGTATTAAGAAGTGTTAATTGGTGCTAGGTGAGTTAAGGCTAGGTTTGTACTTCACAGACTAACTTGAGATTTGTTTACCAGGCAGAAGGCTAGATTTGTACTTCATTGATTAATTAGTAATTCAGTCATCAGCAAAGTCCAATTTTCTCAGTCCTAACAAGCTGGATATTCTTGACCTTGTTGACTTCTTTGAATGTCCATGGTTTGGTACAGTGTGGAAGATAA